AAAGCACATAAAATCATATTAAAATATATACATTTACAAGTATGTACTGTACTTACAGTACATGCATTCGTAAATTTAGATTACTTTTTTTCTGTACTATATTAAAAACTAAAATTTATTTGTTTGTAAGCTTAAAACAGATCCTTATTAACCATACATTATTAAAAATGCATTAATAAATAAAATACAGAACCGGAATTGGCAATTTATGGTTTAGCCTAGTGACAGGTAGATTTGGAGACAAGTAAATTCGACTTACATCGTTTTTCGACTTAAGTCGTTCTCCTGGAACCAATTACCGACATAAGGCGAAGTATACCTGTACTAATAAACAAATAACCAATAGGCATCAATTAACAGGGTAGATAAATAAGACGACAATTAGTGGAAATTTTGGTTTCATTGATCATGACATCAGAAGGACATATATATTAATTAAGTTAAGACTATTTCAGTTTCTAATTTCAGTTAAGACCCACTTCCATTGAAAAAGAAGTATTTCCGTACATGGCACAAGATGGAGAATTATATGCAATGGAATTACAAGGATTTTGGATGGACGTCGGACAACCAAAGGACTTTTTAACAGGAATGTGCTTTTATTTAGCGGCACTAAAGCAGTGGAATTCGGCAGCCTTATATCAAAATGCCGGAGTCGTAGGAAATGTCTTAGTGGTAGGAATTTCGTGGATTACATTTATTTTTTTTTATCTGTTGCTAAGAATATAACTAAAGTTATATTTGTTAGGATCCCAGTGCTAAAATTGGTAAAAGTTGTAGGATAGGTCCAAATGTTACAATCGGTCCAGATGTAATCATTGAAGATGGTGTATGTATCAAGAGATGTACAATATTAAAAGGAGCTCACATTCGTTCCCATTCCTGGTTAGAATCCTGCATTATAGGCTGGAGATGTGTTGTTGGGCAATGGGTGAGTTTTGAATTCAATGTATTTTGTTTTTATTATTTATAATATAATTTATATTTTAAGTTTAATTATATAAAACAAGTTATTTTGTTCATAGATTACAGTATAAACATAAAAATCTAAGTAATTGAAAGGAAACAGATTCTTTGATATGTTTTTAATACATTTTAAAGGGAATAATATAATATAAATTGATTTGGTCACTGCAGCATTGTCAGTGTTCCTCTGGAATATTCTTAATTTTGCAAATTATTTTACCAAATTAAAATTTTATTCACCATTGCATGCAGCCAGTATATATTTGTAATAATTTTTATGTTAACCATTATTAGAATAAATACAGTATTTTATTTGAAGATAAATTTTGAAAAACAGATTTTTTTTTTGACATTATGCAGAAAAATTTAACTATACAGATATATATACAGACAAATATACAGATGTAATATAGTTATTTTGTTTAAAGGTGAGGATGGAAAATACATCTGTTCTTGGTGAAGACGTTATTGTAAAGGACGAAATTTATGTGAATGGAGGAAAGGTGCTACCACACAAGGCAATATCTGAATCCGTAACAGAGCCACAAGTAATTATGTGAACTGTAAATTACCATGATGTTCCCATTTTTCATCCAAACATACTATTATGAATTGTAAGGTGTATGGATTACACTGCCGAATTTTTTGCTAAACACTTTAATTGGATTGCAAAATCAGTCATTAATTTAAAAAACGCAGACTGAAATGTTAAAGCATTCTTATCTTTTATAAATGCATCTTTGTAATTTTTCATTATTGATTGGTTAAGCACTACAATTAAAAACAATGTAAAATTTCTAGTGAATTTTTTCTATTTCTGAGTTATTCAATGACTTTAATATGTAGAAAGTAGTTTATTTTTTTATGATTATTATTTGTTAACTTTTTGTTTTCTGGACTTGCATTTAAATAATGTGCTTTGGGTGAGAAAAACATCTACAGAATTATTCCATAACAACTTACTAATGATTAAATTAATGAATATAAACACAGCAACAGAAGCTTTAGGCATTAAATTCTTAATTAATATTACATTTTGCATTTTGATCTAGAAAGAAATGTTAACATCTAAAACTTCAGCTTTATGTTAAGATCAATGAAAAAATAAGTCATAAAATCATAAATAAAAGTTAATTGTTGTACAGAATATAATTCATAAATCAGATTTTCCTACTTAAAAGATGATGATAGTAAAATTTATAAAATTAATAGGTAAGTACAAAGTAAAATCTTTTTTAATTTCTGTAATTATGTACTATTTGTATGAAAGTTTGAATAAGCTGCTTTGTATAATATAGAAAATATTTTTAATATATTACCTACAACAATTTTCTAAAATAACTAACAAATAATTCAAAAGTTTGTCATACAAAATACAAGAAATTACAGTGAAATGCCATTCTGTTTACAAACAACTGCAATTATAGTTTATTTAATATTAAATTTTCTTATTTACTGTATTTTTGAAATAAGGAAAATGGCATGTAACATATATTCAATATATTCATATGTTATCAGTGTTTTATTCTTTCCCAAAAGATATTTATTTTGTACTAACAATGTGCCATGTCAATCAAAAATTTCATGTTTTAATTTCAATTTTTGAATATTCAGAGGAGAATTAAACATTTTTAAGATTTTAAATTAGTTTGTTTTCTTTATTATTTTTTGTATAATATGAATGCTTTGTAGATAAGAAATTACACCTCATTGCAAAATTTCCAGCAAAGAAATTCAATATTCTAACGTTTTTCGCCACTATTTCATTGGCCCTCGTCAGGAACTGTAGAATGGCTAAACCGTTCTATAAATAGAATGCTGTTGTGTTATAATGTTTAAAAATTTCAAATACATTTGAATAAATGCTGTGACATATTTTATGTGATGTATATTATGAGTTTAGATAGTATTTCCATGCATTTGTTACATGAATGGCAGCTGTGTTGATGCAGGCTCCAATCCTGCACCCTGTAATCTGTACCGCTTCTAATGTTTTGCTGGTTGAAGACCCTGTGTATTAGGGTAGCTTGGTCCCAACTGGGGGAAATCCCCAGATTGCTAGTGTAATGTGCCAGAGCTGTATTAATATTTCCTTTTTGTATGTCATATTTCTTTGCTGGAAATTTTGTATTGAGATGTAATTTCTTATCTCCATATACAGTCCCAGTTTTCTGGTACAGTTGGTGTTTATTGTTCATGAATGCTTTGGTTTATAATTTAGTAAATGTAAAGAAACAGCATATATGGTTTATTTGGTAGACTATAGTTTTGTTCATTAAGAAGGGTCATTGTAGCTGAAAGATCTGAAATGTCTATTGACCCATATAATTTGTCAGTCTACCACTCAGAAATCTTAGAAGAGAAGTTACTCAAAGTGTTCTATATTCATCAATTTTAATGAAAATTTAGTCATAATAAATACTAATAAAAAATTAAAAAATGATTTTTCAAAAAAAAATTAACTGCTAATAAATGTTCATTCATGAGATATGGCTGGCTGTCAGAACACAGTGTTGTGTGTAGCCATTGTTCATCAGTAAAATCCATTGACTTGGTATATAGCTGTGGTAGCAAGACATCAGACAAGAAACCACTTCTTCAAAAAATCATGGCTGATTAATACGTGAATTGAATATCTTGATACCCTCTTCCAAGCAGTTCCTAGCTGGCTTCACTCCCACTGATCTCACTTCTTCAACCAATCTTCCAGTGTAATACTCGTACCAAATTGAGTCATCTGGAGCTTCTGAGCAGTGCCCATATTGCCAATTTATCCATATCCCACAGAGGCCTAAAACCCAAACCCATTTCAAGTGGCAAGTCCATGGCTGCATGTGTCTGTGACAATTGAGTATGGAACCACTTCCTACAGAATAAGCTGTGATTTTCCAGATCATTGATGCATTATAGATTCATGGGGCCTCACGCAAATTTGAATTAGGAGCTCCATGTACAGTATTGACTTCAAACATTTTTGTTTGGTTGAATTTTGGGGTAATTTCCCCCTGTATCCTTGTTCATTTTTTAATGTGACCTATATGCTGTGCCTTTGCACCCTGCACCTGTACCACGTCAGGAATCTAAGGTCTCCAGATGTGGCCTAAATTAAAATTTTGATATTCTTAGTATAATAATGAGTTTGTAAAAGATTTGTTTGGGGGGCCTAGACAATTACCCTTTTTACCCATAAGATAATGCTCCACTGTTCCAGACCTGTAGTCTTTACTATGGTTTACTTGAGGAAGCAGTACTCTCCAACAGGACACTTATTCCTCGTCTTTCTACTTTGAGTGCCCTCTTAGGTCACTCAAATTAGATAACAGAGTAGCAGGCCCCAGCCAAAAATGGTCATGCCCCACTACTATAAAAACAGCCATACTGGATATTGAATGAGGCATGCCTAAATAATGTGAAAATTCAGTCTGATCAGAGAAAATACTGCAAACAAGTGCATCCCAGCACAATGTTGGAACATCATGTTGCCACTCTTCATTGAGCCAGTTCTGAATCAATTAGCAAATAATGCAAATTTTAAATCAATTTCTGATAATAGTAACCGTTCTATATGGTTTTCTTTGTGTTTACACGCCGTTCCTGACGCACTTAAGACCCCCCCGTAAGACAGGAATACAAACACTTACACTGAATACTTTATTCAGGGTTATACTTGGACCGGACGATCTCCGGTCGCATACATTAAACAGGGCTGTCCGTCTTGCACGTGCTGCTCTCTCTCTGGTGTTACCAGATCTTTCCGTAACAGTAACTTTACCAATTCCATACCTAATTAAAACACTTTGTAAACTTTCCTCCTCGGATGGCATAACCTCATGTTTTTTTATGAAGTTTTGTGCTGCAGAATTACAGAAGAGCATATAGAGTTGAGAATTGAGAGCATACAACAGTGATTTTCTTAAGAAAATAGAAAATCACTTCTATATGCTCTCAATTCTGAAAGGCAAACTAAACATTGAGCTCTATCCATATCATCTCTAGCTAGCCAACCTAGAAGTATAATTAATTTAAAATGTTTTATTGCTTTAAAAAAATATAAAAAAATATTTATTCTTACTTTTAAATTATGCTTTCTTTTCCCATTCACCATAACATTTTTCTGACATTTTATGAAAAAATTTAGAAACAAAAGACACTCAGAAATTCTTGTTTGAAGCAAGATTACTACCTGCCGAAAGCAGGACTGCCAAGCAGCCAAGTTGTGTCAATGGGCATGTTTCCTGGTAATGTAGCTTTAATACACCTGAGTAAGCAAGTAAATGACAGTTTCATTTGAAACAGATTTTGCTATTCGTTTGCTTATCCAGGTGTATTAAAGCTTGTTTTATGAGGCAATGCAGTAGCACACACAAAATTTAATCTTGGGGAGCAGAGTTGAACAGATAAAAGTTTTAATGCAAATTCAATAAAATTCCCACTTTACATGACTGCTAATTCATAAGAAATAAAAAACATGGTGTAATATAAATAAAAGAAATAAATATTTTAATCATATTTTTAATTTATTTAATTATAAAAAGTACCACCTTTCAAACACTCCAGCAAATTAATTTAATACTGTAAAAACGTTTTCCACAGCATGGAAATTGCTTTGTGATGATAAACTATAATTGTTGCAGAAATTTTTTTAATGCAGAACCGTTGGTTATTTATATATATCTTTATAACTTTGTCACTATTTTGAATTTGATACTCCCCAAGTGTGCAACATTGTATATGCAAGCGCACTTATATTTTTCATAATTTTAATTTCCTTATGTTCTATTTTCTTTAATGTTTTTTTTATTATTTATTGTTTAACTGACAAAGACCATTAAAGATGGTCGAAAATGTTTTTACAGTATTAAATTAATTTGCTGGAGTGTTTGAAAGTGGTACTTTTTATAATTTAATCTAATTCCAGTATAATTTAGTATAATTTATTTAATTTTAAATATATGCTCTCAATCTCAAATTATTAGTGTATTGTCCCTGTATATCATACTTTTCCTGATAACAACAGAGTCATCTTTGTAACTGTTCTGGAAAAAATTTTTGAATTGAAATCACATGACTTCCAGTTTAGACCAGAAATTCATATGTAGTTAATTTGGGCCTCTTGCCCTAAGATTTCCATACTTGGTCTGAATTTTCATCTATCTAACTCGGTTCTCGAGATTAATGAAGGACAGACAGGCAGTGGGAATTTATATGTCTGCAATTTGAAAATTGCAGCCCAATTAAGTTCTATTGCCTCTTAAGGCAAAAATGTAAAAAAAAATCATTATTTTTCACAACTTCTTTTGACATTTTTGTCCAAGAAAAAATACGCAACATTTATTCATTAGCTTGGTTTTTGTCTAAGACTGTCATTTGTTAAAGCTATTCATTGTTCAACTTTTGTATACATTTTTAGGATTTATTACAGAAAATAATGAATACATGTTGACAGAATTTTAAAAATTAACCAAAAATCTGTACAAGTCCACTGAATCCAGATCCATCAAATAGAAGATTAATTAGTAATAGTAATTTTACACTAGATGCTTTTCAATGAATTTTTACAAAAATTAAAACTGAAATGGACTGTTTAGTATTGTTTACTTTATTTCTTAATAGTGTGTGAATTATAAGATTCTAAAGGCTTCTTGTAAAGAGTTAAAAATAAACTAGGGAAAAATTGAAAATATTTTTTGAGATTTTGAATGGATACCCTGATTTTATTTTCAATAGAATGCACTATACAGAGTGCATTTTAAAATACAAATTCAGTGTCTTACAAATATCTATACAAATCATACCATCAAGAAAAATCTTAACAGAAATATGTTCACATCAGTTATTTTAATGATATCAGTGTCTGGGCAACATGCTTAATGGCATCCATATTTTTTATGAGATGTACCATTACTAAATAGAAAATGTCTGCAAACTGGACAGTTCTGTTAACACAAAATACACAACAAAATAATCTGGAGTTTATAGGCTGCCTTGAAGGATCACAGGTTTGACAGCATTTACATCAGTGCCACGAAAAGATCTCTCAAGCGTCACGTAAAAGAGCACAAATATGATATTGACAATTTTAAACCGTACACCACTCTGTCTGTACATGCCTCTAATAACAACATTGAGGCTAAGCTTGACTGACAAGTGAGTGAGGTTAATATATTACACCTGGCATAATGACCATATAGATTTAGAGGCATTGGAGATCTCTAAAGCAGGCCAGTTAGGCAACTGTGTTAACCATAAAGATGAACAACAAATTTTGTGTGGGAGGCAGGTCCATTTCAATCCAATATTAACACCCTACTCCCACATATACACATCTCTGCACTCCTGATTGGTTCAAACAAATTATAACCTATTTGAATTTATAAATTCAAATTTGAATTCTGCAGAAAATTTTATAATCTATTCAAATTTTAACAATATAATTTCTAATTCTGCAGATGTTCTGTTTAATATATTCCATTTATAGAACATGTATCTTTGATGCAGATCTTGATAGAGTGTCAAAAACATTTGTATTTCATTAAAACATTTTTACTGGAAGGATTTGGGTTTTTTTGTTATGGTGCCATTACAGCAAGAAGGCACAAAGATGAGGTTTTGGAATCCAATGCGAAACTTTACTGAGGAGCTGCAGATGCAGATTTTTTTTTGTGGGTGATAATGTCCATACACACATAAAGGCTGCATTCATCGACAACTTATAGTGGAGATATTTATTTCATGGAATGGCCAGCAAGATCTCCAGATTTAAATCCATAGAATGTATGATATGCTTTAGGGAGATAAATTTCATCCTGTCAGCCTTCACTAAGAACACTCTGGGAGCTTCAAGATGCTCTTGTTCAAAAATGTACTGTGCTTCTGACAGAATCAATATATTACATTATGAGTAATTGCTGTGCAGCATGTATGAGTGAAAGTGGCAACTCCATACCATATTAAACATTTTCTGTGCAAAAAGATTTACAACAGTGTTTAGTACTTTTTCATATTGTTTTTGATTTATTATAATTTAGATTAAATTTCAGCTTTTCACTTATTTTGTTGCATAAAAATCAAGGCCGTCCATTTGGGAGATGTAGTGGGTGCAATGCACCCAGGTCCTGAAACGATCATGAACTAAACACTCTTATTTAAACTTTATTATATATTTTATTTAATTTTTTTTAACAATTTTTTTATAAACTTTTGACATGAACAGAAATTAATTT